TACTAGTTTAAAATACCGTTTTTATACGAGACATTTCGACTATTTAATAAATGTATTTTTAGACATTATAAAAACGTATCGGCTAAACGTTTTTTAAACATTTATTAAACGTAGCTGTGTTGCTTGGGCAAGCAATCGTCTTTCCTGGATGTTCCGGTTCGAATACCACATCCCTGCTTCAAATGATTTGATTGCTAGATTTTATTCAGATTCTGTAACCTTGGATGCTACTTGAGTAACCGACAAATATACCTTGTCTACTTTGAATCCCACTTTTTGCGACGTTCTTTCGGTATATGCACAAAACATGGTGTTCCGAATACATGGAGACTTTTCACGTGTGCCTCTTTTTCTGTGAAAAGTTCGTACGGAGTTTTGCCCTGAACACTAGATGGCCCGGTTCGATTGAGTATAAATACTGCAGTATTAACCGCTTCCGCCCATAGAAACTTCGGCAACTCTTTGGATAAGCGCATCGTACGAGCAAGTTCGACTACCGTCCTGTTCGAACGTTCAGCATCCGTTCTGCTCAGGAGTGTACGGATTCGACATTGCAAGAGTAACACCATTCAGCTTTAACAACTTCCGAACTGCGTGATTGTCAAACTCCAATCCTCCGTCACATTGAAACGTTTTCACAGATCTTCCGCACTGAGTCTTGACCACCTGCAACATTTCATTAATCTTTTCAAAGGCTTCAGATTTTTCTTTCAGAAAATACACCAAGTGCAATCTGGAATAGTCGCATGTAAAACATAAAAAATATCTTGATCCACCAAGAGATGGCGTTTCCATGGGATTACACAGATCAGCATGCATAACCTCACCAGGTGATTCAGCACGTTGTCAGCGCAGTTGAAAACAGTTTTGATGTTGTTTCCCCTCAATGCAGGATCCATAAAATTGATCATCGTCGATAAAGTCAATTTGATTTTTCTTGAGAAATTTCCGCACATGAGCCTTATTTTGATGACCAAGACGTTCGTGCCATATATGTAGAGAATCTTTTGACGATACATTAGCTTCGCCTATTATGCATGTTTTCCGGTTGCTTCACACGGATCAACATCTTAAACAGTTGATCAGCACGCACACCACGAGCTTTGACGACACCGTCTTTTATGAACTCACAACTGTCTTTCGAAGAATTGAATTTCAAGCCTTTGTCCATAGCTGAAATCACAGAAAACAGATTCCGACGAGCAACCGGTACCCACATAAAACGAAAACCTCCAGTGGACGTCCATTAGACGTATTTCATGGAGATTCGGAACTTCCAGTGGATATCCATTAGACTTCCATTGGACGGCTACAGATCGGAAGAGCACAC